TCAAAAACTTCTTTTAAGCCCAATTTCAGTGGGGAGGGAACCCAGAAGGCACCAGGAAAGACCTCTATGGGTGCAAGAGCACCTACAGACACTGTCCCAACAACCCCCAGGCGAGTCCAACCACATTTACAAATATGATTCTGAAGATGGTGTGCCAATACCTCTTCAGTATCCATCGCCTTTATTTAGCTTGCTTCCAAATACCATGAAATGGTGCAAAAATGAGATACGAGTCCATGTTATCAAATGAAAGTCTGTTCCGGCTGTCATTAATAGTCACTTGGGAAAAAAACCTCTTCATTTCTGACCACTCTGCACCACAGGCCAATTGTCAGACATACCCTCGCTGTGACTCTGTCTCATCTCCAAAGGCTTTCATGTTTTAATTCTCACAATATTAGATTTGACACACCAATCTGGTACCTAATATAAAAGGCAGGCTAATTACTACAGCAGGTTTATAAAAGTGAGAGCAAAACTCTTGATTTAAAAAGCCTAAAGCAATGCAAAGATTGAGAAGCTAATTGCATGAAGTCAAGTGCTGCAGAGAGTTAGCGTTCCTACAATGATGAGGTCCTGCCTGAAGGTGAAGCTTCCATTGTGTGGCCAACCTTGAATGGAAAAAAGGGTGGAAAGATTCCCCCCTCTCTGTCAGACTGTCAAAAAACCCCAGAATACTTAACAATCAAAATGGAAAATTAGGGCTAATGACACAGCTTTTTCTAAATAGATGATTGTTGAAAATATTTCTTAACATGCACAAGATATACATTAAAACCACCACAATATCAGATACTATCAACAGAAAAAAGCAAAATCTGGAAGCCTCAAAAACTTCAGAAAAAGTGGCCTGCAAAAAAGACAATGCAGTCACTCTTCTAAACACTTTGAGGAATAAGTCATTGCTCAGTGCTTTGCATGCAACCCAGCCAGATGAGATGTGTATAAATATTATTATAATTTTTAAGGTGGCAGTTTATCTGGATGTGGCCGTATCTCTTAGACCTTCTATGATTGTTAGCTCTTAGCTTGTTACCTATGTTGTTCTGTATGCAGCAAATCAAATATTTATCACAGTCAACCAACCAGTACAAACTGTAAAAATGCATAAACACAACTTCAGAAGAACAGAGGTGGAGAGGCCAGGGTTTGAATTCAGGATTGAGCAGAGCCAATTGAGAATTGAACCAGAGAGACCCAGTGCATGTAAAACATACGCGCTACCACTGAGCTACAGCCAGTGTTAAAAACTGAGATACAAAATCTAGCAGCTAAATGGCACCTTAAACCTAGGTTATGGGCGCAACAATGGAAAGTCTAAGCACGCTTTCTAATAAGAAGAATACAAGGCTGAAAATGAATGAACTGTAGCTAAAATACTATGTTCCTTTTTCACATAGTCTAGTCCTTCCCCTGCCCACCCACCAAATATTCTTCAGAAGGTCTATTCTCCAGTCTTCAGAGAGTAGCTGGAAGGGGTGAGGCAGAAAAAGGACCTCCTTTCCTTCAACTCTGCAGTTTTAATCGAAAATCTTAGGCGCAGTACTGCACCCAGAGCTCAGAAACATCCCACACTAATGAAATTCCCTGTCACAAAATGCGCCTAGAACAATGGGAGTTTTGAACACTGACTATAGCGTTAACCCATGACTAATGTATTGATATGAAGGACTGGGTCAAGAGAAGACATATAACCTTGGGGGCAGCAACAGGTCAATGGCCACTGCATGATCACACCTTGAAGGGGGCCCCTGCAGTTCCATTTTCATTTATTTTTATTCTTTCCATGCTGCCTAAAACTGAATAATAATTACAAAACAAGCCATCAGGATCCTTACAGTGAAAGGATATGGAGTTTAAGAGCTGACACACAAACTTGCCTAAAGCCTTATGAGCTCCTCACTTGCTTGGATTTATAGCATGAGATGGAAGTATGAAAACATTCTTTATGAAAACTTGGCTCCCCATTTACAAAAGGAGTCTTCAGTGTACCTCTCATAAGGAAAAAAAGATTTAATATGCAATACAAAAAGCCAAAGGCTACACTTACGTTATTGTCAGGTCATTTCAGCAGTGCTACAGAAATGCTGCTGTGGCTTATGCACAACACACACACACACACACACACACACACACACACACACACACACACCTGCTATTGAGAACCATTAAAACAGACAAGTTAGTGCTCGCTCAAAGAGCTCGAGTACTTTCATTAACACCTCTGCATTATGATGCACACTTCAGCCAGAAAGCTAATGTCATGAATAATAATAATTGTAAAGGCACTGAAGCAGCGATCGCAGAAGCATGTATTTGTTCTTCTGAGCATACCCTGCTAACACTGAGAGCCTGTCATTGAGATGCGCCTGCTGGGCAGGGAATAGAACAGAATAGAATTCCAAATGCATTCCATTGCACTGGCTGAACATAATGTTACCCTGGCGCTGCAGATTTCTCCTGGTGTTGGGTACCGTTGATGGAACACTAACACAACACCAATAGTGCACAGAAAGGAGCAAAAATAAGGAGAGCTGAAGGAGTGCCGGGAAGAGCAGCGACACTTAGGTTTGGGCTCAGAAGTCAGTTCCACCACATACAATGCAGTAATGCCATGCTTAAGCAAAAACACTGCCATTTTTATTCCATCAGTGGAGACACCTACAGACGACTTCTCCGTTCCCAATGAACATGCACCTCCAGTTCAGGAGCCAACGGCAACACCACTAGCATATAAACCCCAACCATATAAACCATTAGCATATAAACCCCAAGAAGGGAGCACAGTTTACTTGATAAGGTGTGCAACATGGGACCGCATCACTTTTCCCTCATGTCTATGGAAACATGGGCATCACTTTGCCCTTGTGTCTACAGAATAGATAGGGACGGTGATTGGGAACTTCAAGAAAGGGAGTATGTTGCACAGGCAAGAAAAGAAGGACAGCTGAATAACAACACTTATCTTCCTCCAGAACTGCCAACAGAGGTCCTGCTTACGGCCTTTCCACAAGCATCTGCTTGGTTATGGTGGGAACATGAAGCTGGACTAGATGAGTCTTTGGTTATATTGTCATACATCTATTTTGCCTTTGGTTAAACTTCTCTTCTCCAAGCAAAATATATTGATAGAAGCATTCTTTGTGAGGACTTGGTTGCATGGTCTCCCACACAAGGGGCACAGGGTTTACATATACACTGTACAGAAGACAAGGTCCTCAACCTTACCATTGATTCCATCACTCCAGGAGAAAGCTATGGGAACAGAGCCACAGTTGTTGGTGAATCCAAAGCATCTCACTTCAGTGAACTGCTAGCAAAACATTTATGGTGTGCTCTTTTTCTGCATAAGGTGCAGAGTACGTAAAGCAGACAGAGTTCCAAAGCTACCAACAACAGGCTGGATAGGCAAGTATTGTCTTAATGACTGCATTATCTTCCCTGTATTTCATAAACTGTGCCCAAGAAGCAAGCTAAGTGATATGCTTGCAGAGAAAGGAAACACACTGCCGCTCCTAACTGGACCTGGGATAAACTTCCTTGCCCATTTTGCAAATAGCATGCACCAGACACTGGATATGAAGTAAGAACTGTTTAGCTTTTCCCAACACCATACGAAATCAGGAGAACAGACACCTTGAGTTAAACCAGGTGATTCAATAACCATCTGCCTCCTACCTTCTATTGCCAAAGAAACAGAAACCCAGCCACACCAAGTTTCAAAACCGGAAACTGAAAAGGTTTGATTCTCAAAAGTTACTCACAGAATTCCAATGAAGCCTTATTTCCTCTGGTCCACGGGGTGTGGAACTACATTTCTAAGGAGTGTATACAGATACCTAGGACAGGGTTATCTCCTCAAGATCCAGTTCCCTGGGCTAGGTCATGGCAGGTGCAGGCTACAACCTTCTTTGCTTGCATAAAAAGGAGCCATCCCTGGCATCTCCACTTAAGCAGGATCTCAGGTTTCAACCCCTGCCCTGCGACTTGGTCAGCATCTACCAGGCTGGGCTAAAAGGACCATTGATCTGACAGTAGAAAAAACAATTATCTAGGAAGCCAAGTGCTCTACAATTTTTGGATGTGTGTCATTTTTTGGAAAAAAGGAAATAGTGCAAGTCTAATTTGGAAATTAGAATGGAAAAACTTGGAAAAGTTTAAGAATGGGGTGACAGGTAGCAAGGCTATCACCCAATATAACACCTGGAGGAGTAGGTATGGGTGCTCTGTCACAATATTTCAGCATCACACAACAGATAGACCTGTTCAGGTCTCCTTGATCTTCAGTTTCTCCACTGTCACCCTAGACAATCTGTTTTTGTTTAGCAACTCCTGTGTTTAAAACTTGCCCCCAGTTTCACAGTAGCCTAAAGGCTCCCCATTCCTCTTCTACAGCCAGATTGTTATTTTCTGCACACACCCCCACCTAAATACTTTTCTGTATTTAATTTCTGTATGCAAAAAGCAAGTAATATGATTATTCCCCAAATGTAGAGCCTGTTAAGCCTGCAAGTTGCTTCTACTGCTCCAGAAAACAGACCAACCTTTGGGCTTATACTCCCTTTCATAGATTTGGAAATTAAATATGATGACAGAACAAAACATGGCCTGTTAGCCAAAAAGCAGGGTGGGGTGAGGCAGGAAATGTCCAAATGGTTCCTCTCATTCCATAGAAAACAGTATGTGAACATGTTGCAGAGGATGGAATTTTAAAAAAAATATGAAAAACCAAAGTGCAAGCGCTGAGCCCACCATATTTTTGTTCTCACAGGGACAGCAAAAAAGCCATTTGGCAATAGCCTTCAGAACACCATACCAGGCGCTGAACCACTCAAAGCAAACACCAAACAAAAGTTGCATATAGCAACTATGAAACCCAAAGACTTTTAAAGACCATTAGATATTGCATTATTCAGATCAGTTTGCAGCTGCTGGCATATCATAGAATCACAGAATTGTAGACTTGGAAGGAACCATCAGGGTCATCTAGTCCAACCCCCTGCAATGCAGGAATCTTTTGCCCAGACCCACGACCCTGAGATTAAGAGCCTCATGCTCTACCGACTAAGCTAACCCAACTTTCCCTTTCCCAATCAATCAAGCTCAGAGGTAGATTTTACAACCATCCACCAACACAAGAATCCTACCTCACGGAAAGAGTCCACTGATGGGGGGAAAAAACACCCCAAACCAGTTTTCCTTTCTACAGTCTAGTTTTTATTGTAAAGGTACAGCATTGTGATTGGTTCTGAACTGGATTTAAAGTGATTGACCCAAATCTATCTTCAGAAGGCCTCCACAGAACCACACCAAATATCCATACACACCACTTCGAGCAGGCTTCCACAACCTCAACCCTCCAGATGTTTTGAGACTACAATTCCCATCATCCCTGACCACTGGTCCTGCTAGCTAGGGATCATGGGAGTTGTAGGCCAAAGACATCTGGAGGGTCGAGGTTGAGGAAGCCTGACTTTTTACATATTATACAGTTTATATATGCATTTAAATAATTTAATAAATCAAAATTTAATGGCTCTATTAGACACAGTACATTCATACATCTCTTAATAGTGCTACACTTAAGATATGCCCCAAATAGTATTAGATTTTGTTTTGTTTGAAACCAGAAGTTGTGCTGAAAACCTCTCGTTAACTTTCCTCCTTTGTGCTTTCTCTACTACACCAAGGCTAGGAAATCTGTGACCCTCCAGATGTTACTGGACTACAACTCCCATAATTCCTAACCATTGCTCATGCCAGCTGACGCAGATGTGAGTGGGAGTCCAGCAACATTACTATTATTACTATTACTGTTAATTAAATTGGTATACTGCTCTTCATCCAAAGATCACAGGGCGATTCACAACATAAAAATACATAATACGTAATAAAACAAAAACAAACAAATAATCCCCTTCCCACAAACACATCTAAAAGGCCATGCAACTAGCCAAAGGTCTGGTTAAAGAGAAACATTTTCGCCTGGTACCTAAAGATATGTAATGAAGGCGCCAGACGAGCTGCCTTCTGAAGAGCATTCCACAAACAGGGAGCCACTGAAGAAAAGGGCCCTTTCTCATGTTGCCATCCTCTGGACCTCTTGTAAAGGAGGCACAAGAAGAAGGGCCTCAGGTGATGATCTCAGGGGGCAGGTAGGTTCATATGAGGAGAAGTCTGGAGAGTTACAGGGTCTCCATCCATGCTAGGTTTACACCATATTAAAGTCAGTAGGCATTATACATATTTGAGATAAACATAACCCACTGAAATATACCGCCATAATAAAATGCAGGGGCTGTTAAAAACAAAAGGCATGCTATAGCCATATATTTCTACCCAGACTGGCTATAATACGTGGTATTAGACTGGAACAGCGAAGCTCAGTAGCGTTATAATACCCTGGAAACAATTAGGGACACCTCAGGCCTTCCCCTTTTCCTCTCCGTTGAAATTCTTGTTGAACAAAGCATACATCCTGTAATCAGATAAAAGTACTGTATCTTGGTTCACAGGTAACATATGGAGGAGGATTTATATAAATCAGATTTCCGTTTGGTGCCAAGACAATTCAAGAGACTCTTTCCATTTAAATGTGTCCAGACGGGACTACAATAAATACAGTACAGTGACAAGTTGAGAGGTTACATACCTTCAAAAACAACGAAGACAACTATAAAACAGAAAGCTCGCGCGATACATTCACAAAAACCGGAGCTCACCTTCACAACTGAATTGACTGGTGGAAGATTTCAAGTTGTCAGTCGTGCCTTCCCCGCCCAATCCTTCCATGCTCTCCCGATCTACCTTACTAGCAGGTGTCTGAGATGGGAGCTTCCCATCTCAGGCTCCTGGCTGCAGGGCATGTTACTAATTCTCCCCAATCAGAGCAGGAAGAGGATGAGGTGTCAGCAAGTGATGAGGCAATGTTCTGCTAGCATTTGATTCACTGCTACGCTCATTAGAGACAGAAAAATTCAAGGAAGATAAAACTAAGTTCTATTTATCTTCTTTGAATTTTTCTAAGCTCATTTTAAAGCAATCAGCAGATGCAAGTCATGACAGCTACATACTCTCTCTCTTGGTTCAAGGGACAATTTCCTTCTGAATACAAGATGCTGAGAAACATGAAAGGGCCACTGCCATTGTGCTCAGGTTTAGCTGGTGGGCTTCTCAGAAGCATCTGGTTCACCACTGTGGAGAGCAATCACTTATTTTTGTAACTATGGTTCAGCAACTGAACCATAGTTACAAAAATAAGTGATGCCTGCAGGAAGACCCCAAGGCCTCCCTGCTTTTGATCCCCAGCAACTGGCTTTCAGAGGTAAACTGTGGCATTTTCCACGCTATGGGAAATCATGATAAGGTGAACCATTTGAAGCTCTGTCCATCATGCAGCCATTAAAGGCACAGGGCTTCTGCCACAAAGAGAAAATTTTGAACCCAATTGCAAACTCAGTAGTCTGCTATCTCTGGTACATGCAGGATCCTAGCAAGTTATTTGGCACCTCCACATTTTCTTCTTGAACATGTGTGGCTGGGAGAAACAGAAACCACTTGCCAGCACTCTGTATGGAGAGCTAGGTCCTAGCTACAAGAGCAATGAAACTTTTGATGTTGACTCTGATCCAGAAATGCATTACACTATAGAGCAGATTCATATTGCAAACTCCACTAACTCCACCTGCAACAGGTGAAGCAACTTAAGCAACAGATTATGAAGTTTACATTTCAGAGGTTATCATGACTTCCACAACAACCGAGGAAGCCAAGGGGAAGTCATTACCAAGTTTAAATGCAATCCTACAAGGTGACTCATGCTTGTCAAAGCCATGTGCTCACGATGACACTTCACACATTAATTACACAGCTATTTTTAACCTCCCAAACTGTGTGGGCCCCATAGCATCCTCCCTACATCCCTTTTCCACCACTTTTGGAAGGCCAGTGGGAACAACCTAACTCTGTCTGTAGGAGTGTTCTTGCTATTGAAGGGAATCAAGTCATTTCTCATTTGATTATTTACTCACCAAAGGCAGAGACACACTTTTCACCAGCTATGCTTTCTTGCTTGCTCCACAAGGAGAGATGAGTCAGTCTACTAGAGGGACTTTATATATATATATAGGAGGAATGTCTTATCCACACCCATTATCAGGCAATTTACATTTGTATTTTTAGCTTTTGGACCTAATCCTGCTTGTACTTTAGCCCATTTAGAGATGAACTCACAATGTGGATCAGCTCTGTGCAGCAAGATCTTAAGTTTCTTAGAGTTTATAGATTTTATTTTTATTTATTCATTTCATTTTTATGCCACTTTATATTGTAAATAAAAACTCTCAGTTTACAACACATCAAAACATTGAATAAAACCACCCAAAATAAAACATTGCTGAAGAAAGTCAAAGATAAAGTATATAATCAAAGCAACATAGCTAACAAGAAACTAATATTTATCAAAATAAAGCATTGCAAAGGAGGTCTAATAATAAGAGAGGGCCTTTTCAGACCTTGCACCCCATTTCCAGGAGTCTACCTATCACTTGTTCATTTTCAGCACCAGAGACTTTTTAAAATGATACCCGAAATTTGGTCTTATTCCATGGTGGAAGGTATTCTGCTTTTTTGCATAATTCAATCTTTTTATTCTGCTGCTTACCAGTTTAGGTTTCATTGTGCTAATCGTTAGTATTAATTGAACGTATTGTTAACAAAGCTGAAGTTTGGCTGATTGGGCGGCATATACATTTTTTGAGCAATAAATAAACTAAAAGAGTAAGAGAAATTAAAAATACATTTGCTAGTTTCAATAATTATTAACAACAGGCAATGACCCCGGAGCTCTGTGTTCCAGGCACAGCTGGACGATCCGATTCAGACACACACACAAAAGAACAATATAATCACTTCCCCATACAAGTTGCACAGACCTCACTGCATATAGCTTTAAAACAAAACGAATCAACGCTGAATGTTAATTTAAAACAGAGGCAAAGCAATCAACAATGCACTTAAACTGGAGAACAGTAGGGAAAAATACACAGGGGATCCATGTTTAGATCAGAGAAATTAAACCTCCCCTCTTTGGCTGAGAGTTGCAGTTTCGGGGGGGAGGGTTGAGGGGAGAGATCCTTTATATTTAGTGGGGTTAACATGTTATCCAAACCTTAAACGATTGTTAGTGTTAACTATGGTTTCCTGAGACAACCCTAGCCCTCTTCAGGGATTTAACATAGACATGTGAAGACTGAAGAATCATGGAATTGCTGTAAAGGGATATGGATGTGTGTGCTCCACCTGCGATGTATCTATGCAGGTTTACCAGCTGCACTCCCAACCTTTTTGCAAACTTAGCACGAAAGCCTGAAGAGGGTTTGATAACACCTTTGCCTGAATGTGTTCACAAGCCGCCTCCTCACAGGGTTGTCGTGGGGATTACATGAGGAGGGGCGGAAACCATGTAGGCCAACCTTGAGCTCCTTGGAGGAAAAGGTGGAATAGAAATGCAAATAACAAAACAAACCGTGTAGAAGTATAGCTCCCAATGAAGATCCAAATGCACAACTAGGTGGGCAAATGTACTTAAAGGCTGCCTTCAGCCCTCTGCGCCAAATATACAAAGGTGGGGTGCAGGATAAAGTAAGCATGCATGGAAATACAGTGGTACCTCTGGTTACGAACTTAATTCATTCTGGAGGTCTGTTCTTAACCTGGAACCATTCTTAACCTGAGGTACCACTTTAGCTAACAGGGCCTCCCGCTGCCGCCGTGCAATTTCTGTTCTCATCCTGAGGTAAAGTTCTTAACCCGAGCTACTACTTCCAGGTTAGCAGAGTCTGTAACCCAAAGTGTTTGTAACCCGAGGTGTTTGTAACCCGAGGTACCACTGTATTGGGGGTGGAACCAACATACATGCCCCCAACTCTCTGTATGCTTTTGCCCTTACAGTTCCATGCCAAACGCCCGAGAAGCTAAGGTAGCCTCAACAAACCATCATTTGTAGGCATGTCCCTATCCCTCTTCACACTTCCACCGTCATATGTCCAGGGCAAATGCCTCCTCCTTTATAAAAC